AAAATATATGTAATAATGATAGTCATTGATCAGTAAACAAATATCCAAACGCTTAAAGTATTTTAAAGATTCTACTTATTCAAAGATATTTCATCTATTGCATTACAATTTCTGCAGTTTTTATTTTGTTATTATTATTCAATCGTTCATAATACACGACCATATGGTATTACCTTCAACCTTTGTTAATAATTTGCTTGTTCATTTTATAGTTAAATTTATTATTCTTTATAGTAACATAGGCCCGTGCGCAATAATCGTCCAAGGAAGAGAGAAAGGAATTTTTCGAAGTGATATATATTATGTTATGTAAGAAATCAATAAAAAAATACATGTTGAAATATCCATGATTAAAAATATACAGATCGAAAATCAATAGATGTCAATGTCTGACAGCTTGAACAGATTGCACATCAGTGAAAATGCGTTCTATCAATGGCTGCATTTCCAACAATAATCGACAGTAAGTGAAAAATGTGCGAAAATGCAATAGAGAAAGGCAAGCCAATTGGCACTGTTAGAACAAAAATAGACAACTAATCGTATGCATGAATTTTCCAGTTAGTTTGACTTTTATAAAATGAGGACTAGGTGTATTCTTAGTAGAAATGTATGCAAAAGGAACCTCGGTGGTGGTGGGGTTAGAACCCTCAAACTTCACCACCCATTTCGCACGGCCTGTAGTGCGGAATTGTTTGCAAGATCCATTACGGATTTATGTTGGCGCGTGTACGTGAGTGTACTCATCCAATAGAATAATTATTGCGCTAACGAACTGTTATCATAACAACGGTTGAATTGTGTTCAATTCAAGTAAAATGATTTCCCGCGAAACCGCGTACCACGGACTGTCCTCGGAGAGATGTAATACGAATAGTCAACTGCGGAGTGGAATAATTTTCGCTACGGAAATACAATAAAAATAATGATAACAATAAAATAATAAAAAAATTTATTTCTCAAGAAGACGTGGCGGACGCCTCGGTTCGTCCGGTTAATTGTGTCGCAGCGCTAATTCGATTTGTCTCCACCGTATTTGCGTAATTGCGGACCCACGCGTACAATCAGCCTACTCATCGACCCGGCCAAGACGAACACGTCGAACTCGCGATGCGATCCACCACTCCGGCCGCAACGCTGGTCCACGAGAATAAGTCTCCCAGACCGGAGTAATGCACCCCTTCTTCAGCGGAGCCCCAGTGACGCTGAAACAATCTTTGAACCGTGGAGGCCGTAAATACAGAGGAAGGTAAATATATATCATAACGACTGGGTTTGATCACATCGGTTGTACAGTCGCGATAACGGATTTCCTATTCTAAAAGCTATTCCATTTCGGCTGTCGCGGTTAAATATTAAATCGTTTCCATTTTCTGAATAAGGGGTAATTGTTTCCATGTTATTCTTATATAAATAACTTGTATACTACATAACATATTAACTACTACATACATAGTGCATGCAAGTTATTTCTAAATAAATCTGGTCTCTGTTTTCGATTTAGTTTTGTTCAGCTCGACGTTTCGTTGTGCGCACGCTCGTATTTATATTTATTTTGTCGTCACAGATCACCGAAAACGAAAAAAGTAATCATAAATCATAATAAAATAATCGTACACGTGTTAGAACAGGAAGAAGAAGAAATAACGTTTCACTTCTTCTACTAACAGCTCATCGCCAGATGTAGTGTATGTCAGAGCGTTCTATATTTTTCGATTGAATAAATCCGTACGGAATAAAATCGCAATGCGACACGCGCAATGCCCTGCATCCGGAGCACTACGATCGTCAAACGCAACGACTGTTATACTTGTATTGTTGACACGCACACGTCGATCGGATTTCGGAAACCACACGACGAGGCATTTATTTATAGAGCAGTCAATCACGCGGACTAACCGCGGTGACGACGTCAACACCGATACATCCGGAGCCGCGGGAAGCGCAAGGCACACGTTTACACGTTCGTTCGTGCACTCCATAGATTTCGGAATATTTACCGTCAACAATGTGAATAATGTTTATTGGCAATCATTTCGGGTAGCTCCCGATCGGTAGGATCCCGGTCGCATCCTGCGATGAGAATTTCTTCCTATCCGAGCGCATACTAACTCAACATTTAGCGTAAGATTATACATTTTAAGCTTCGTTTTCCTTCCCATTTCTATGCTCTTCTTAGGACTGCCCGCTGCGTCGGTATTATATGTGAGTTCGTGTTTAATCCAATATCTGCTTTACAAGTACTTTTAGTACAGTAAAACGATAAAAGTCGCGAAACGCTCTTTACGGTAGTCAAGGGGGGGCGAGTCCGGGCTCCCCCTCATTAAAATTTCTACATACTCAACGGTTTAATAGTAAATAGTATAATAATAGTATATAGCGTATTTTAATTTCTTATTATCTTCAATGTACAAAGTTTATAGATTATATAATATACCTTAATGTAAAAACCATACTGTAGTATATTAACAGTTATTTTTTGATATTGAGTTTAAACTATAATTATAATGAGAGAAAAGATAAAATAAAAATTTTGGACCCCCCTCCCCATAAAAAAAAATCCTGGGTATGCTCCTGGTGGTAGTAAAATGACGACTACTGTGCAGTTTGGTATCTACTATTATAATATTTTAACAATCGAAATTAAAAATTGTTTTGAATTAATAAAAATCAATACCGATGTTATAAGCCTATATTATACGATTGCTGATTGTCGTTGTAATCGAATAAGGAACGATAATGCTATACATGTGTGATAGTTACGACGAGTATTAATTTTTGGGGTTTTTTGGGTCATAGCAATAAGTTCTTTTGTTAATTTTAAGTATTCTTAATCGTTCGGCCAAAATGGTATAATGTTCTCAATCGTTCGATAGTCAATGTCAACACGGACTTGCAATCATATTCGGTAGAAAACGTCACTAACGTAACCCGGTTTATTTTTAAAAGCCGTTTCGTCAGACGTCCTCCGTCCATTCACGATGAGTTACACATAAAACCGTTTGTTTACTGCTCTGATGTATTTGCGATGAAAATTATTCGTAAAAGTTGTTTTTTATACGATATTTGAATTTAGTTATTTCGTTGACGGCGAGTATGTACAACACAGGACTGTTGGTGAACTCGTAGCTTGTAAAATTGAAGGAAACACCCATTGTTATTACGAATCGTATGGTTAATTTTAAATACTATATGTTTTCTTTTTTTTTTTTTTCAATAACACATCAACAGATTGTTCAGAAAGGAAAAATTTTTAAAAATGTAGTCATTACAGCTACCAGCAGTTATTGAAAACAAACTGTTTTATTTTTTAATCCTTTTCGGATGTCAACAAATATTATTACGCCTTTGTGTGTTTTTGTAAAGCATCATGTCGATGTGTATTGTCATAAGTTTTCGATTTTTCTCCAAGTCAATACATAATAAACATTTCAACGGTATAAGCGAATGGTGTTGGATGACACAATCTAATGACAATAACGATTATTTTTATCTTGTAGAAAGTATTGGCTGTTAAAAATGTTGTAAACACAGGAGTTATTACATAAATGCATATACGTAAAAATATTTATAATATATATACGTACATAAAACAGCACGAGAGTGACGACGCCCAGGAATTCGGTGTCGAGAAAAAGGTGAGGTGGTAGTGGTGTTGAATGTGTGTACGCGGAGTGGGTCAAAATTACACTCCATACTAACCATGATAGACAGGGTGTGGTCGTGTCGATTTATCAAAATTTCAAGAACGAGACACGGGGCAAAAAGACTTTGACAAATGATCGACTCCCAAAGGTTCTATACATATTCCCATACAAACCAACCCCCGTAGCGTTAGGGGTATTTACGTGTGAGTGCGTATACTCTCGGGCTGCGTGTGTTTGTGTGTTGTCAAAGGGCTACCGTTAATTTCTCAAAATGTTAAACGTTATTGAAAACAACCCTTCCCCCGTTTCGATCGTGTAAATATTTCGCTAACACCACCCGAGCGCAATTTTCCTAATAACTTTAAGAGGTATTTGCAATACACTTAAACACGGGTGATTGACGTTCTTAAGAATAATATATAATTGCGGCTGTGGAAGACGATTTTTCATTATAACACCGACGAAGACGATGGATATATGAATAATAAAAATAAACGCGACGCCGAAAATAACGAATGTTTATGATCCATTGATGTTCGTGTTCCATTTCAGTGACAAGTTCACAACAATCGTAATTCCATAGAGTGTTAAAATCAGAAAATGATAAAAATAAATAAAAAAAAGCTTACACGATAAAAAATCGAGTTGCACGTAGAATATTTTAAACGATAACTTATAGTATTCAATTAAAATTTGTTGATTTTATATAAATATGGCCCACAAGTTGGAAAATCTTCATTCTACTTCTGAAATAATAGCATATTTTCAATTCATTAAAAAATTAGTTAAATAAATGACGTTCAGTCTTAAGGCGTCAAACTCCGATAGTTCAAAAAAAAATAACTTTATTCTCTTCTACAAGTTTTTTTTTTATAGCATCTTCTTTATTTTTATTTGAAAGCACCTGTATTGCAAAAATCACGATAACTTGTATTCGAAGGACTAGTCATAAATTTGATTTTGGTACTAATACACACACCGGGTGAAACTAGATATTTTGATATTAGTCTATGCCCAAAGTTAACTCGTAAGAAAATTATATTTTGCACTAAGAAAAGTGGTGGATCCAAACATATCGATTAGAAAATGTATTTTGATTGCTACCACTACCTTAAAATTACCCGGTTTTGAGATGCATTTTCTCATATATCCATATAAAAATCTTTAAATACTACATTTGTATTTTAATAATGTTAATACATTTATAAGATAATATTATATATTAAAATGTAATTACAAAATTTAATACTGATCAAAACGAAATAACAAATAATAATAAAAATTACATGCCCTTTTTTTTCAATATATTAATCATTTAAGATTTAATATTTTTCCAAAAACCGTAACTATTGTAACTATAGAACTTGTTATTGTACATTATTTCAAATTTATATGAATCAATACAGCAACATAAATATTATACTTTGAAGTATTTTATTTGATTACTTGAGATGTCATCGATAGACGTTTAGTTTATACCAAATAGATCACTCACGCCAATTGTACAAAATACGATAGTTATTTAAATAGCATTTTAATTATATAAATATGTCATATTAATAATTTTCTTCTCGGAAATCTTGCGGCTTCGTGGTCCTGAACAAAACAAGGCACCGACTAATAGCGTGGTTAGAACATTCACCTCAGCTAACATGTGCTGATACCGAATCCCATCCATAAAATATTGTGTACCATCTGATGACAGTTTTTCATTCATATATGAAATCGTTGCACAAGCTCACCTGCACTCCCAACTACCACCGATACGTATGAACTATGATTTAGACCAAATACCACAAGCTAATAAAGAAGGCTAATATAATATACAGTACCTACTATAATAAAAATAGATAAACAATATTAAAATTGTTAATGTATAAATTAAACTCAGAACTTAGAGTGATCCGTGTTTAACTAAACTTAATAGTGATAACCACCAATACGGTTATACAGAACAAACTTTATTATAATGTAAGTTTTGTACCAAGTATTGTTCAAATAATTCAATTAAAGCACACACGATATCTCTTAGACATTAGACAGAAAATTTAAATCTCGTGTAGAAATATTGTGCGATTTTTAATAGCGGTTTAAACGGTTTCTCATGCGGATAAACTATTGGATTGGATTGAAAGTTGACCGTGAATTTGAAAAATATATTATTTCGTCCATACAGTAAACAGTAGTGTAATTGAAATAATTGAAAAATAACTTAAACATACGTGCGTTGCGTAAAAATAATTTCGAGTTTTTAATGCACCCAGTCGCTTAAGTATGCAAAACGAGAACCCGTAAATTTATAACATTATTGTTTATTATCATACTGCGTTTACAAAAATCTTATATTTTATTGGACCGTTGTTTTATCTACACGCTCGTTTTGCAAATAAAATTCGGTGTTTATATTGTATTTGTTTAACTAAGGAAGATTTTATAGTCCACAGTACAATTCAAGTAAACCTACCAATATACATCGTATGTGCGTGTGAGTTGTATCGTATTATTTACACATAAAACAATACTGTTTCGAATGTTATTAATGTGTACCGAATAAACTTCCGTTTCGATTCGGTATTGTTTCGTGCTGCACGGGTAAGGCCTTATGAAAACGATGAAAGCATATAAAGTTTATCGTAGAAAAAAAAAAGGTAATTTTTTTATCAAAAAATTAAACTTTTTGTACTTTATTAAACATGTCGATTGTGAGAAATTTGTTATAGGTATGTTCGTTTCGTTACTACTTAAGTATCAATAATTAATCGGATATTGAAGTGGCTGAACTATTTTTTCTTTGTGATGTGTATAAATAAATAATTTTCTCGAAGAACATTACCAATATATTCATACAAATGCTAATTTAAAGTTATTATTTTTTTTCGTTTCATCAATCATCATGAATAATGGTTGAATTTGAAGTACTTATTATTCTTCAATTACGTTTTTTAGCCTCTAATCAGATATTGGGAAGTAACACTGTACTAAAAGTCTTATGAGTATCAGATATCTTATTGGACCGAAATCGAATCGAAAAAAATCTTTAAAACTATCGTTTTTCGATTTCCTTAGAAAACATAAGAAGGAAAATTCAAAATTAGTTATGAATTATGTTAAATTCAGCATGAATTTATAATTTTTAAAATATTAATTTTGTGCTCGACACTTTATTTTATTCATATTAAATACGAATTGAAAACAAAAATTTCATTTCGTGTCGGTTCGACAACATTGTTGCTCCGAATTGCGTATCACTTATTTCAATAAAATATTAACATAATAAAAATACGTTATAGGTATTGCCTCCCTCCCCCCATTCGCTTTCGGAGTATAGAATATTAGTGTATGATAATATAGTATGCAGATAGGTACGTGTCTTCCGCGCTTAGTAAAAAATGTAAAGGATAATCCATTTATTCAATATTATACCCACCACGGGTGTAATATATATATATATATATATACATATATTATACATATATAATATGTTGATTTATTTTAAATTCCGGATTTTCAATGAACATAGGCAATAATGGATGTGCCGGGGCAGAGAGTGTTTTTCCTTTCGCACCATCGAATTTGTCGTCGTATTATTCACGATGGTGAAAAGAGCATTTCGTGAATATCTTTAAAACATATATACAGACGACAGTTGTTGAGTTGATATTGTGTACGACTGAACGGTCTTATATCGATTTATGTTAATGTAACGTATGTGTATGTGTGTGTGTGTGTGTGTGTATTTGTATATATGATTGCCAGTGCGCGCGTATACGTCTATTTTTGAATTCAAACATTTAAGTGGATTTATAGTAGAATTCGTATACGCAAAGTCTTGTGCACGGTTGACTGATGTGGTTTCTCACCGGTTATTTCTTGATCTCGAGGGGAATTCACTACGGAAAGACATTTTCGATCCGCGTGTTTTTGTCCCTCAACAATTAAAATCCTGCAGCTCTAACAAATCGCCGGGTCTCTATGGAAACTTTTTGAATTTTGAAAATTAATTTCCATGTCTCCGTCGCTTTGATGCGGTTCTGCGGTGGTGGTGCACGGGCCTCTGGGGGTTTCGTCCGAAGAAATGACGATATTCGCCCAGCGACAAGCCTACATCGGCACTGCTTCTGCTGCTGCTGCTTTTTAGTTCCGTAATCGGGCGCACCCCGCTCAAAAGATCGACAAAAGGTCTTTTGTCGAAAAAGAGTTCGGAAAACATTTCGTCCGTCTACCACCGTTATCATTTAATAGAATCTGTATTATGAAAATAAGTTTTAATTACCACCATCGCTGCTGTTGTGGCGAAAAGGAACGCACAAAGTTCACAGGGCTTATATGTATATTTCCGTAAGCTTTGGAAATCTTAAACAGATCAGCTCTTTTTCAAAGTGGAACCCCCGAGATAACCGCCAAATAGCGCACATTAATCAGTCATTTTTCCTTCTATAGTACTATCATACGAAACACGCGTGGTTTTTCTTCTCCCTCCTGCTTCTCCTCCTGACGCCGTCTTTCTCACGCCCAGAAAGTAATATCGCAGAAGTCGGTTCCGTTGTATTTACCACAGCTGTTCCAAAGCACACACACCATCGGGCAAATCACAGAAACATTACGCTTAAATACCGTATTCGTAGTCACTAAAATAATATTAATAATCAATAAAAATAACAACTACGTAAAAGTGGAATTTATTTATATTCATGCATTTTCTATACGATTTCAAGTTTCATGCATCTTATCATTTAAATCAGTTAATCGAAGTATATATTAGTATGCACAAGGCTTTCCAGTTATAATTAGTCACTTAGTTTTTTAATAGTATAAAAATATTATAATAAACATATATTTGGCACCTTTTGATTTTCGTGCGGATGTCTGTGTACCCTTCTATCAATGCAGTTATTGAAATAAGCAAGTACAATGTGTGCCAATTCGATAACTATTCACAAACGTAATTTATTTAAATAAAATAGAAAAAATAATGTCCTTCCAACATTAAGCGAAAAAACACTAATATTTACCATGTTATAGATTGTAAATATATTATAATGTATATTTATATATCTATTTTAATTTTAAACAATAATAAATACATACTATAAATATTTACCCAAATGCATGTACTATATTATGTGTTATACACGTTTATAATATCAATGATTAATAGAAATAAATTTATTCCCTGAAACCTAATTAAAATTTCTTATTAGTGAAATTTTCTTTTTTAGTTTTTTATGAATTAATTTGTTATTTTTTACTTAAATATACAGTATGAATAATTAATCAAATTCTATCATCTGGAAATATACAATAAGTAATTTAATTGTACTTACAACTGTGTTGTAGTATTAGTAATTCAACAATGATAATTTTGTTGTCAACTGAAGCTTCGAAAAAAGAAAAGATTTATTGAAAAACGGTCGAAAAAATATTTATATTCATACATAAATAATGGTAAAATTACTGAAAAAAACAATCCACTTTTAGCTTGATTAATGGTGATATACTATAAGAAAATTGTTAACTTACAAACATTAATTAACTGATGGATGAATGTAAATACTAATTGCCAGATTTTTATACCCTGAGTTTATAATAATAATGAAATGTTAGTATTTTTTTTTTTTAATCCGGTATAATACCAATTATTTATTCGTGTCGTACTGCATTTATATCACGTTTAATTGTTCCTTCTCCAGTTCATGAATTAAGAGTTAGTTTGTTGAACAACATCAAAGATTTTCTATATTGAAAAATAAACAGTTTTAATAGAAATAATATTCAAATATTTATAATGTACATTTTACATATTTTGCGTCTCTGAACGTGTCTATGTTTACTCTGAGCAATCTATCTAAAGAGTAGTATGACCATTTGCCACGCAGAAAGTTGAAAAAACTCCTTACGTCGTGAAACATTAAGTCTTTCAATTTCGAATACATTTCGAGTAATACGCCTATTTTTGACTCAAAAATTTCTTTTTCGCGGGTAGACAAACTCTCGTAATAGCGAACATTTTTTTTACTATCGTTCAAACTCTGAAATTTAACATCTACATAATAATTTCGTTTTTTATAATACATAAAATTTAAATCAGTTCAATATGGGTATACAAAAGTATTACAAAAATGTATTAATTATGAATTATTATAACATGCCTGCATTGGTTTTGTCGTTTTTTATATTTATCATAAAATTTAACTGATATTAGTTATAAAATTCGATGAATTACAATTTTAGTCTTAGGATCAAAGTAAATAATTATAATCGAACGATAAATATTTTGCACATACATACACATAAATTATAATACATAATAATTCAACAACATTACTTACATTACCTATCATTACTTTTTTATTTTCTTCTAATATTGGTTCTGTTATAGTATTGCCAATTAAATCACGGCTAGTTTTAAATATTTTGAAATATATATTTTCTAGAGTTGAATTTGTAGAAATTATTCTCTCGTCTGTCCAAACGTTGGCTGGAAAAGAAAAAATCATACTCATTAAGGCATAATAAGAATAAGGAACATTTTATCAATCATGTTCGCATATTTACCTAATTGAAAATAAAATAAAGACACGGTAAACGTAAACCCACTTAAGTTCATCTCACTTATTTCGTCCTAGCGTTGGCGTGGTTCGCTTACCTACTGACGTCGCACACAACAAAATATTTTCCAAGAAAATTTTAAAACACTGATTCTGTTTCAAAAATGGTATGGACAACATTTAAACCGACACACATATAAATGTATATGAGTATACGAAAAACGAAACTATACGTTTATTATTTTCAAACGAGCTAATCACTAAAACCATACAGTATTAAACAACCTATAGAATATACAGTCGGAATCAATAACGGTATTGCAATGGGAATGAAGTTCACGGGGTCCGTGTACAATCGGTAAATATTAAGAATGAACTTTGGGTTGTATTAAGATTAGACGTCTCCGATAACGCGTAATGATTCATGAAAAATAAATGTTACATTCGTTTCGTGTAGAGTATTTGCTGTTCGATTTAATTTCATGATATTAAACGAGAGCCGATCAAACGATATAAAATACTTGGTTTGAATTCGGTCGAATACAAAAATACCCTTAGGTCTCCTTATACGACGAGAACATTACAAAGAGAATCACCTCGGAGAACATCCAAACACATTTGGACGGCAATATCATTTTACCATTATTTTTTCATCGTGCCGAACTTTTGTCAAATAAAGGATAGTACCACGTAGAGCAATTAATTTCGCGTTCGTTTTGCGAGTGGATATTGTTTTTCTGCAGAGTGCAGAGTACCCCTTATGTCGTTTACCCGAATTATCGGTTTTACGACCGAAGGGTATACGATTTACGGTACGTCGATGAACGCATGCTACGATAATACGTATGTTGTGGTATACAGGTTGGATAATGACAAAATCCTAGTTACGCGTTACTTTCCGAATAATGTGCATCGGGCGCGACACATACACTAAGTGCAAGGTGTTTTTTTTCAAATACTATATAAATTGCTTACAAATAACTTAGACGAAATTATGTCTTTCGGTGACGAGTAGCTGCGTCACAACTTACGTTAGTACCCGACAAGTAATAACTATCGGATTAGATCAAATAATCCGTTACCTATGCGAGTGCTAACTCGCTACGAGCGTTTTGAAAAACTATTTTTTCATTCCTTACTTCGTCATTACATTCATTACGGTTGGGGTTGGCAGACCCTATGCGGGCTGATAACCAGTGCTCGACTTGAGGGGGACGGAGTGCCCCTTCTAATTTTTAAAAATTTTAGCGTCCCCCTACTATTAATACGTTATAATTATAACGCTTAACAAGTTTTGGGGGCACAATTTTTTTTTAAGCAAACAGACTCTCCCTTCTTTAATTTTGACAAATCAAGCACTGCTTATAATACAGTAGGGTCGTTGCAGGACATTGCCAAAGTATAATTTAATGCACGGCATAAGAATTACTCAATAACAATCGGTTTTGTTTTCTACTTATCGTTCCGTCTTTTCAGAGGAACCACAACGATCAAAGTTTGAATAATACTTCCAATATTTTAATAGACCTTCAAATGATTCGTTTGGATTAGTGCTTGTTTTCTTTTTAAAAAATAACCGGTTAAACGTGGTTTTAATTTTTACGTTACCTAATAACAAGTTTTAATTAAAGAAAATTGTTAAACTATCTAACGTGAAATTTTATTTTGTGTACATTATTCAAAACTGCGACTTATGCATTTTGTACAATATGAAAGTAAATTGTATTTCTTAAACTATCATTATTAATAATATTTATGTTTAGTTTTATATAATAAGAAAATTAAAAGTATTGAATTTAAAAAGCGAAGATTTTAAAGAAAAATTATCATTTTCATTTTTTGTTTATTAGCAATATTTTGGTTACCTAATTTTTGTAAAAAAAATATTAAATTGAGGTTTCGTTTTCAATAGAATTTCTTTATAAAACCAATTGATTTAAAAACCAAAAGAAGATCGATATGTTATTCAATAATTAATGTGCTGATAACTATTGAAATGTTTAATTGACAGTTTTCTAATTTTTGCAAATTTTAATATAATTTTTTTTTCAATATTTGCAAAATTAATATAATTATTTTAATTATTCATAGGAAAAAATGAATTTGTGTGACAAACCAATATCATCAAAATGTATTAGACATTTTCTATTTAATTGTACTAATATTATGTAGCAAGAAAAAATACTTTTAATAACCTAACCTATGACTCTAATAAGATTGGAATTTTTAATCAGTATAATAAAACATGAAATATGTTCTTTTTCCACTCACATATCTTTTATTCTAACTAAAGGTTTATAATATTGTATATTTGCTTATTGACTATTATTACGTAGTTTTGTGTTCTTTCTTTAGTTCACGATAGTCAACATATTTATCCTATAACAATAAGCAAATAAATACGTCATACAATATAAAATTAATTCATAAAAGATAAATGTATTTAATCTTACCTTCAATTGTCTTAATAGTTCATCAATATCATGTCCTATACTTAATACCTTAAACTGTATATCTTCGGGCAATTTATAAAACGAATCATTTAACAAATCCCTGGATATCATCATAGCTTTTGCCGGGCTTTTTACTGGTGACAGAGATGACAGATTTTCTAATACACTTTCTTTGATTGTTTTCATTTCCGGTGTCAACAAATTATTTAAGAACTAAAACAACGTAAAACGAAATCAATTTAGTCCATAAGTCCTTCAGTAAAATATTTGTCTAATAAATGGTGTACATATCTATTTAGTCATTTACAGTTTATTTATGATCAAAATAAATTTTTTATTTTTATTTTTTTTTTATTTCTAAATTTATATGTAACTAAAGAAACAATGTAATTAATCGTATCTATATACACTAGAGTTTATTAAATAATAAAAACTCTTAATAAAGACAGAATTGAATAAAACATAAAACTGTATTTTATTTTGTGTATATAAAAAGTAATTGCTTGAAAAAAAAAAGTATTACATTACATTTCAAAGCATAACTTTATATTTACAAAACGACGAAAACAGATAACATATACAGTTATTATTTTTATTAATACTGCAAAATATAATTTAAATGGAGTGTAAAAAATTGTATTTATGACTTAAAAATTGTGTAAGTATTTTTATTTTCTACTTTCATTTTTCGATAGTTTTAATACTCCCTAAGCCCTGATATAAATTTAAACCTCTTCATTTTTTATTTCAAAAAAATAGTAGAAAATAATGTAAGCTTGCATCATGTTTTGTTCACACTTCAGTTTTAAACCCACAACTGTTGTATTGGAAATACGATTTTGAATACTATCACGTCATCGGCTCTTGCAAAACGGTCTAAATTTTATTATAACCAGGTTTCCATTGACATTTATTTCAATAATTTTATTTTCTGTATGCTAACAATATTTTTCAATAAACAGTGTGTGTTAGTCTTGGATTTTATCTACCAAAAATTGAGATCATTTTCAATAAAAAAAAATTAAAATAAAATAGTATACTAAAGTAAAAGTTGACGAAAACTTGCGTTTTATCAATATAGTGATATAAACCAATACTCATATCGGTATGCTCACAGCCCGAAAATGTTTTTTTTTTTTACATATATCAATAATACTTGGTCTTTTAAAGATTATAATAGTACCATGAAATAGATAGTTATTTTTGTATCGTCACCTTATTCATTTCCTTCCCGAACCACTGTCCATCAATTGAAAATCCTAGCAAAAGCATTTTTATATTATTTTTCAACGATTTTCCAGGCACCGTATTGTCCAGTTCTAAGGCGGGTAATTCTAGCAGGTGGTATACGGAATGGATTATGTTTTTACTCACGTGCTCGAATTCGGAGACTTCATGAGAAGATATCTGTACACAAAAAACACGTACGTATTATTGTAATGATCTCAACACGTGCAGTAAACAAAGTTCAATTTTATTTTCCCTAAACGTTTGTGTAGAAATAATATTCGTTTGCGTCATATAGCTGTGGCCCCGTATTTTCAGCGATACGAAAATTATTCGGTAAGAACACAAAATGAGCTTTTTACAACATTTTGCGCTGGAATTACGCGTATAATTGTAATTTACTACTCATTTATATAGTGAAGTTTCTCCTAAAATGTAAAAAGCGCATATTTTGTAAGCAAAATCAACACGTTACATCCGAAATACTGGCCTGATTTTTCTCAAAAACTAACCAAAAACGTTCACAATGCGTTAAAATATTAATCAAATATTTCACAAAACAGTCACGATAACTGAAAATATGTGAACAGTCTAGAAAACAGCGTTTTTTTAATGGACACTGTGTGAATTCGCTCGTTGAACTTTATAATAATGTGAAATAATACTTTCCTGGGCAACTAACGTTGATGATACAAACAAAAAGAAAAACGACAACTTCATTTTGGCAGAATCGGTTGAGTAATATAATTATGGTTAACCACTACACTAATTGATAATTTATCGACTGAAAATGTATTGATTTACCGTCCAGTTTTTACGTTACTTCACCCCTCTTACTACTTGTATATGGCGATTGGATCTTATCGACAGTAAAAATGCATCACTTTGTTGTCCGGTTGCATTGATTGTTTTCGTCAGAAACATGATTGTGATGATATCGGGTTATTTTTTTTCCATATTTAGATTATGTTTATGAATTGCAAAGGATTCAGTTGTTTATTGTTCGCTACCGGGTTTGATACGCGTTTCGTTTGCGTAAACATTTTAACAAGTAATTATGAAATTCGCTCGTTTTCTCGGCATTTCCAGATTGTTAACAATGAACTTTGGAGTTAATATTGTTTTATTGTACAATAAATAATTTTATATTATAACATGAATGATATTTTTAAATTCAAACCTTGGACGTTTGAAAACTAAATTCACGAAATAATTTCTTATTCGGATTATAGATATGTTGTGAGATTTAGAAAAATCTATATAGATACAAAGTTTTATAAAAAGGTTTACCACTTATTGATTATCGTAACACGGCTTTTTCTTTCAAATTTGACTTTATCGAAATTGAATAAATTAAATATATTTAAAATAAAAACACTTATTATATACAAAAGTGATTTGAATTCAATTTTAATACGGTGCTATAAATAGGCTATTATGGTACTAGTTTTGTGAAATTTCGAAAAACGTATATTTTATAAATTATTAAGTAATATGTATTTTCTTTAATTTTTAACGTGTAAAACTAAAAAACAAAAAAACGTGTCTTGATCTTTATAATACGAGTATATTGTGCAGTATTAGAGTTAAATTATTTTCGCTGATGAAATTTATTTCAGGAATAATTTGACCTGTTATCGCTTGTTGTATTTCATGAACAAATGTTTGTAATATAATTGCAATCATTGTTTAAACGTATAATATTTAATAGTTTATAATTTCTACCTTGTTATTTTTAGTTTGTGATATGGTTTTGTACTGTTTTTTTATCATTCATATACGTTTCACGTGTCATTGGTGCAATTTGTAATTAGTTTCTTTATAATTTGTTCAATAATCTCGTTATTTTGTTAGTAAAATATTTAATTGATCCCTTGGCATTGAGTTCTATTGATAAACAAGATGCTTAAAGCGATCATTACTAAATATCATTAGATTAAGTTATTGTTTTTATTTTATTAATAAATTCTCGTTAAACACTTGTACGATATATAATATTTATACATATTGCACACTTTTTATACCGTTGCTACTTTTGAATCTTTTAATCGCAGAGTTTTTTCCATATGTATATGATCTATAAAATATTACTCATTAATCAATTAAAAATGTAATAATTTTAAATTTGAATTGAGAAAAATATCAATTTTCTACAAGCTTTAAACTAAAACAGTTAGAACACTAATTATACAAAAAAAAAGAATAATTATATATTTGATGACTTAAATGATTTGTAGTTACATAGTACTACGATATTTAGGACGGTAGGTAATTAGGCCACATTTTATCTACCTGATTCGTATAAAATATTTGTTTATATTTTACTACCCGGAGATTAGACCATAAATGTACAGTATAAAATATAAGAATATCGAATATACAACGTTTATTAACTAATAATTATTTTTATAGTGCATAAAATACAATAATTTTTTTTTAATAATACCATTTTCAGGATTCACAAATTTAATATAATATAAAAAGTCAATAAAATTAGTGGAATAATAGTAATTATTATAAATACTTTTTTTCTGAGATGTACATAAAAATTATTTCTTTAAATAATATGATACCGATTTTACAAATTCAAAATTATTCTTTTTTGCTTCTTCATATTTTGAATTTCATTAAAAATATATTTTTTACGAATCAAAGTTCGTTTTCTTGCTTTTATCGTTCTTATACTTCTCATTTCAATATATACTTTGAATTGAACCCCCAATAAACATTTAAAAAATGTTGAATATTGAGATGTGCCACATAAAAATCGTTTTTAAAATGTGAATGAAAGGACTCAATGGCAATAGTGGTCCGATCACCGGGTCTACTGAGCTATCGAAATATTGTAAAATCAGAACAAATCGAAACTATTGCATTAGTATTACTGTAATAATACAAATAATACGTAAATCATTATGAATTTCAACTTAAGGAAATAACAAAGAAAAAAAAACACATGGTTATGTAATTTTCTTATGTTGAATATTTTATTCAACATTTATTATTTTTTCATAATTATCGTTATTTATATAAATATAGTTTTGATACGATAGTAAAAAAAAATTATTATTCTTTGTTGTTAAATTTTATATTTTTGACTCAAGGTTATTTAAGAGTAATTATATTTTAATAAGGTACAAAAAGTAAAATTAAATTAAGAACATTTCAAATATTTAAAACATATACAATATTTTTTTCAGAACACTCGTATGTATAGAAAGTGTGCAAAAATGTCAATATTTGACTCAGACATCAAAATAAGTTTGAATTAAGTTGGGTAGTTTGATCAGCGTATTGAAAATTGAAATTAATTAAACTTAAATACAAATTTTAAACTCGGCAAATCAAAAATATTAAAATTCTAAACTTGAACCAAAATACTCTGAATCATAAAATATTAAAACTTCTACTATTCTATAAAAAATCAAAAAAAACTAAATTCATATCAGTATTTACTTATTTCGTAACTAGGTAGTTTCATAAATATTGTGTACAATTATAAAATTATGTACACAATATATTGAAGTAAAATAAATAATAACATTAACATAATATAACAATATTCTAACGCTTTTTTATGTTGACCTAAAATATTGAAAAATGTATGAAATATTGAATAGTAACACATTTTTAAACGAATTATAAAAACATTTAGAAAAAATTTTACAGATATGTATTTATTATTATTTTATCTTTATTTACTTCATATAAATAATAAAAATAATGCTGATGTATTATTCAATTATTTTAAAAGGTCTTAGATAATGAGTACAATAATAAATTCTATAAATTAAGAAAAATATATATTTCTCATAAAAATAATTTCTTTCTTATTTTATAAACATAATAAAATTATGATGTACCCGTTTTTCACATTAAGATAATATTATTTGTGGATTAAATGCATGCATTGGACATTAAACGCAGATAAAAGAAGTAAGATTTTTTGCTTCTGTATTTATAATCGTAATATATTTTTTATATTTTTTTTATTGATATAAAGGCTTCAATTATAGAGAATATTACCCTAGAGGTACATTTACTATGGATTTTTACAATATAAAATATGAAATTGATATTATTTTTTTATGATGATAAAATGTAAAAAACATTGTAATATTTAGTTTTTTATCTAAATCTATTTGTTGGAATAATTTAAAAATGTTAGCAGAGTTCTGTTGATTGTGGGCTTTTTCGAGTGACCTTGAACTATTGAGAAGAGTACGCGCGGTTGCGTATTTAAGGTAGTCTATAATGATGTGTACCATTATTAGTGGGGATATACATGTCATACGATGGAAAGAGCTCCTTGGTGATTCGATATGAGTGAGTGATATGATAATGGTTTATTCTAGATCTGTTTATAATTATTTGTTCTCTCCTAGATGAGCTATCTGGATATGTCTATTTGGTCAAAGTTTTTTCATAACATCGTAACATATTGTTTTAATGCGTTGAAAAATCTGTTATACAATGCTAATACTGAAATACTTTACTGAATATCTATAAAGGTGAAAGATAAAGGAAATAATACCCAAGACTGGTATAGTAATATACGCTAAATTTTTTTTTCAATTTTTTGCTGATGAACGATCTAATTTGATAATTAATATCATCATTATCACCTAAATATCAGCATATAGTTCTTGTTTTGGTCCAGAATTATTTTATTTTACATGTTGATAAATTAAACCTTATAACAGAAATCGGAAAATTCAATAAGTTAACATTTAAAAAAAAAATAGAAAGTAAAAGAGATTAAGGGAGAGAAAGAAGAGTACAGTTTGTATTTTGTGGTGATAATTTTACACAATTTTTGTGAATACATCACAATACATACATTACAATTAGTACATATTAAAACAATCATAAATATTGGAAATTCTCGAAAAAATTTTCTTAGTGGTGATTAATGTAAAAAATCAAATAGTTATTCATTAAATTTATTGTTTTATTTCATTGCAATTCAAATTTGTCACATAAGACAAACGGTTATATGTTTCATATTTTATCATACGGTCATAGGTTGTTAAATAAATCGATGAACATATTATTACAGACTTACATAATTAATATAATAATTTCTTTTGGAAACCGATGTATAAGTCTTCAGATTATAAAAATGTATAATTGCTCGTCATAACATTATTAAAAGAAAATAACCTTACTTTGAATGGTATTTTAATTATTACTTTATGATGATAATCGTTTGATTTTTGTATTACTATAATGATACTATTCGTTGACTTATTTTATGAATAGCACAATAATACTTTATAACAGGGATGGCTAACTTGTGAAGTACTTGTGATCGACTTTTGAGATTTTTTAAGTTATCACTCAGGTTCATCTCCCAGGAATTACACCCGGGGTGTATGCACCTCTCACCACTCCTTGCTACAGCTTTGAAAACTTGTACACGTTGATCTCGACCTCATGTACACGCTGTATCGTGGTACGATCCGACGTCAATAATTTAGCGGTACGATCGCAACTTTCGATCGGACGCGACGGACCTCTAATGGAAATCAAGACTTGAAGCCAGGCGATACAAGTGGATTCGGTTCACGCATATTTCGTGGCCCTTGAAAAGTGTACCCCATACAGTTCTAAAAACAGTGCATCGGACAGCTCACACGTTCGGTCAAAATAATCATCTAATTTAAAAACGACTAATAAGTCATCAGTGTTATTAATTCATAATTCATATTCAGTGTTGTGCTTAGATAAAATAATTTTTATTTAGATATTTATATAAGGCACTACCTCAAAATTTTAATGTAGGTATAATAATAATTGA